AAAAAAAAAAAAAAAAAAAAAAAAGTCGCGCGTTTGTGTGGGGGGGTTTGTGTATTCAACACAGCCATCCCACGTATTGTGGGAAACAGGACAATACTCAAGAATATCCATTAGTGCATAGCTAAATTTAGCCATGGATGACGTATGTTGCATAGTTGGTCAGGTGGGAGGTTAGGGGTCTAGGTTAACATAGGAGCAAGGATTAGCAAATTAGTAGATTAGCGATTCGGAGAGGGCATAAGCCCAACCATAGGGGGGGTGCACGCCCTAAAGCGCGCTTTTCTCCGCCTAGCACCCATAGCAGCTCATCAGAGGGGTTACCTTAGTATAGGCTCCTGTTAGGAATCGGGGTGGGGGATAGGAGGGTAAGCAGAGGGTCAAGGGTTCCCAGGTAGAACATGGTTAAAAGTTAGTGAAACGTACCTGAGCGGTCATGGCCGGTGTTGCCGTGGAATCAGTCGCCGCCATATCACGAAGGTGAAGACGCAGCGTAGTATCAGTAGGCTTGCGCAGACAGCAGAGCACCTGTGGCACAGTAACGTGCCAGACCGTTTCTTGGAACCCAGATCAGTTTGTGAGCATGAGAGTTCAAGTAGGGAAGAAAGAAGTGGCTAGAGGTCGCAGTCGGCGAGAACCAGCATGCTGGTGATGGTGTGGTATGCATTGTGAGAGGATTGGTATTTGTAGTGGTTTCGCTTCACCGGTGTGCAGGCTGCGGCATAGCTGATGATAGTGTTGTGTGAGCCATGGGTGCATTGCGGGGTAAGCCATTTCGCGTGGTATGGCAGGGTAATTGGGGAGTTCTGATAACCGTGTGGTGGACACAGTATGCGTGGTTTAGGTGGGCTATTGGGGGGGCATGTAGGTTCGGGACGAGCTCGTATTGTGAAGGATGGGATATGCAGATAAAAAAACAGGGGCGGGGGCCTTACCAGTATTATGATGGAGGGGTTAGCACTGTTGATTTACCATTCGTAAGTAGCGTCATCGCAGGTTGGTAGCTTGGTAGCGACACATTTTTTGGGGGGGGGTTGTCTTGTAGTGTAGTGTATATGGCGGTATTACAGCGCGTTGTCTGTGTGTTTGTTTTGTAGTGCGCAAGTAGTGCCTTTTCGAGATGGTGTGCTATTAGATTGCGTCTTGGCAGGAGGGATGTGATGAGGTCAGAACCCAGCCGAGAAGTGGGGGAGGGGGAGAAGATGGAGGGTGCACATGACGGGTAGGTCTGTATGTCTAGAGGACGGGTAGAAGCTAGGTTGGCAGAGGTAGTCTTGATGCACTGGTTACGGCGAGCATCGCCCTGTGGTTTTATGTAGGCTGCGTGGGCTTATTACAGAGTGTCAGGCTGCTAGCATGCCAGTATTGGACTTTTTATGCGTCGTATATGGCGTGGTTCAGACTATGGCGGTAATCTGTTTTCTGTCATTTTTGCTTTTCCTCGTGCGTGCGTTTGTTTTTTAAGTGTTTGTTTTTTTGTATGATAGCAACGCCGTTTCAAGATGGTGCACCATTTGTCGGATGTGAATAGATATACTAGGGGCGTTAAAGCGGTGTTTTTGGGTTGTGCGTTCGTTTCCCCGTATTTCTCTTATTTTTACAAGGGACAATTATCCAATAACTGATGTCTGAGGTTGCTTTCAATGGTATGAATACCCTTGTGTTGACACATTGTGATAGCGTCGGATACTTCTATGGTGGCATGAAGTTGTGTTTGGTGGCAGTAATTATCACATATCTGTATTAAGTTGGTGGGATCAGTGCTAGTGGTGTACGCGTTGGTTAGTGTTTTGATTTTATAGGTTATTAGGGGGTTTATTTTATTTTATTTTTTTAATTTTTAAATTTATTTTATTTTGTATTTTTATTTTTATTAACCTTTATTTTTATTTTTATTCTTATTTTTGCCTAAAAGTATTTATTTTTGTATTTTAAATTTAAATTAAAAATTTTTCTGTTTTTAATTTTACATTTAACTTTTATTTTTTAGAAAAAAATAAATTTTATTTTATTATTTATATATATATATATAATATTATTTAAATTTTTAATTTTATTTTATTATTTTTATTATTTTTATTATTTTATAGCTTTATTTTTAATTTATTATTATTATTATAATAATTATTATTATTTATTTTCTAATAATTTACTTTTTAATATTATTATTTTATTATTATTCTTATTCGTATATTTATGTGTGTATGTGTGCGTGTGTGTGTTCGCGGGGGGGAGGTGACCCCCCCACTGCCAATCAATCAATCAATCAATCAATCAATCAATCAATCAATCAATCAATCAATCAATCAATCAATCAATCAATTAATCAATCAACGAATTAATCAATCAATCAATTTTTTTTTTTTTCTTCACCCGGGACCAAAAAAAAAAAATGATCTTTTTTTTTACTGTTTTTTTGAATGGGGGGGTACCCCCTGACACCCGACCCCCCCCCAGCCCATCCACCCCCTCAGCACCCCTTCTTAAGGCCGTGTACGGATGGCCCGAAGTCCGTACGTACGGGCCGTACGGGTGCCGGGGGGCCGGTACGTACAGATGTCCAGACGTGCGGACGGGCCGTATGCGTACGGCGGTATACACAGCCCCCAACCGCCCACCCTGCGTGGTATGATGTAAGTTGTTCGTGGCTCCTCTCTTGCACCCACCTCCCACCCCCAACCGCCCCCCTGCTTGGTATGATGTAAATTGTCTCTACTTTTTTTCTTCTTCCTAAGTCTGAGAATCTGGACTATCCATTATGATTCTTGTCCCTTTCGATGTGCAATGGAAGTGGCTTTGTTCTCTGAGGATCTGGTTGGATTGGAGCCGATGAAAAGTACTTTAGGACGTGTCTCATCACCCTCTTTCCATGCGCTGACATTTTGGAGCTGCCTGATTGAATTGGACCTTCTACTCCTTCCTCTTTCTTCTTCTCCAATCCCTATTGTCGGCTTTGCCCTTGGGAACGAGTGGACCCTCTCGATGAACCACTACATGATTTAACACAAACTCTTCATGCTATGTACTTTGATTGTTTTGCATGCTTGTGTGGTGCCGTTTCGTTCGTGTTGTGTATGCTCTTAGGCCTTTTTTTGATTGTTTTGCATGCTTGTGTGGTGTCGTTTCGTTCGTGTTGTGCATGCTTGTGTATGTATCAGTGCTAGCAGTACTCATAAGAGCAGCCACTGCTATCACCTGGGGGGAGGCTCCATCTTTGGACCATCTATTGGTGGGGAGCATCACCTGCTGGAAAACGGGTCTAGCGTCCCTTATACAAAATTGTTCAGGAACATTTGAAGACATCTGAAACCCAACGAAAATAGAAAAAAGACTAGAAAAACCTGGAAAAGCCTGCCAGCATCAAAGGATTGACTGAGCAGGTTGAAGAAGGGCTCTCCGTCAGCAACCATCCACCATATTTAGCCATCTTTTTGATAAAACTGGCTGGCCAAGAAGGCTAACCCTGCTATCCTTGACCTAGAAACATCGTAGGGCCACTGGGGGGCACCAGTGGCACCTTGCATTTCCTTACCCACTTCTCTCCCAATCTATCCATGCTTATTCCTAGGAACGTAAATGAGCCATCACCAATCTACCAGCATGAGAGGATAGAAAAAATTGTACAAGAAAAATCACAAAATTACCTGCATGAAAGGGTGGTGCTTCTGCCCCCAGCATGACGAAAGGATATCACATCAGACGTAATTCCAGGGACCCAGGGTGGGGAGGAAACGGATCTGGGAAATCTTCAGCTGGTCGCAAGGGGATACTAGAGTCAATAGACAACCAACCTTTAAACCTCAAACGATAATCCCGTGGCATTGCATCCCTTCCCTGACCTTCCTCCCCCTCCTCCCCTACAATCCACTCTCCTGACCAGCACACCTCTGCTATCCACCCCTCTCGATCCCCTCCCAGCCGTTCCCTAGAAAACTGCAATAGCCTCTTCGTAATATCCTTTAGCCTGTGAAGGGTGTCAAGAGCAGTTTTGACTAACTTCCATTTGTGCGTTAGTTCCAATTGGATGTGTTGTTTAAATTGTTTGATCCTCTCCTCTCCTTCGACTCGAACATGGTCTAACGCTAGAGCACAAAGTTGCCACCATAGGACCCATATGACCGTTCTTCGGTCTAGGTGGAACATGTTCCAGTCAAAAATGTCCCCTTGAAGAGGCGGACAATGGCCCGTGAGAATTGCACGCCATTCCCACGGCCACCAATAGCCCGAAACTATTTGCTGCCACACCCTATCCCACCATCTCCAAGTAAGAACTGTTGTCGGGCATTGCAGAAAGATGTGTTCTATTGCCTCTTCTCTCTTCTTTACTGGGAAGCCCGACAGACATCGCGAGCACTAGGGGAGGGCTCGGCCCTGTTGCTCCAAGTGTGAGTGATCGATCAACCAATCGTTCGTTGGTAAACACCGATGTAGGATTTGCCAGGTAGGTTGACACTCAACTATCCCAACCTCAAACCGGCATCGGCCTCCCTCCTCAATATCAAGACTCTTCAAGGCCTCACAACCCCATCTGCTAGGTGACGAGGTAGCGCAACCTACCTCAGAAAACTCCCATCTATTAGGTTACAGGGTGGAACGACCCACCTCGGCTCCGGCCCGTGTCGCCTTAATACCAGCCCCAAACAGCCACAGAACCACCTCCCCCCATAGGCAATTCCTTGGACCTCTTACCACGCCTCCAGAGCCCTCGTCACGCTCGAGTTATAGGGCAGCACGACCTAACCCGCAGCTCCGACCAGCATCGTTCCAACTCGGTCGTCCGAAAACAAACGGGTGGAAGGCAGATAGCACAGTATCAACTGAACAGCCAAGCATCACCTCAACCCGGATTCCAGATTCAATGACACTAAACTCTCCTAGAACTTAGATAGACAAGAATATAGCTTAAGTAGACAAGGACTTGACCTAAATTAGCCTGTCACAACACGCACGAGGTTGGGTTCACCAACCAATTTTTAGAAATAGATTTTAGCCCTATTTTGGAGACCATCCTAGAGATCAACAGAACCTAGGAATCCTAGGAATTAAGGAATAGGAGTTTAGAAGTCAATCAACAATGATGGTGCTGAAAGGGATTTGGATTTTAGAAGAGTCAAACATATAACTTATATTGGTAAAACATTCAGAGTTGCGAATCTATCAGAAACAAGTCTGATTTACGACTTCGAATTTGCAATTGTATTGGACTTAAGAATTGGCAGTTGTAATAGATTCTTGGAATTTAAAAAGAATCGCGAAAATAAAATCCGCATTGCCTAAGCAAATAGGAACATTATTTAACAGATATAACCAGAAGAGCACGGTTTAAACGGATAAAAATCGAAATATAAGAATCAAATATTAATCAAGAACTGAAAAAGGAAATACATACTGGAGCAAAATCCTATCAGACAAAATCTACTCAATCAGAAAAATCATCTTAGAAAGACAAAAGCATAGCTGGAGAAAGAGTACCCCAAGTCCCAACTCTTCATAAACCATCCCTCCTTGGTTGCTTTGTCTCGGAAAGA